TTCTATTACGAGTAATATTATCATTAGCAGTATAATATAAAAATTCAATTTCAAATTTCGCTCATAACTTCCAAATTAATAGTAATCTTAATTAATGAATGAGAAGTATCTAATGGAAAATTATAAACTCATACATCATATTGAAAAATTTAGAAACAATAAGTCAAAATCATTGTACGTCACTGCAATACAACTGTGGTGTGAAGAATGTAATGTAATAAAAAAACGTAAAATGAATAAAATACTTTTTCCAATACTCTTGCTTTCTGTGTACCAAATTTCTATTGAAATTAATTTCAATCGTTAAAAATTAATAGGTATTACAGCATATCTTTGTTAATTGTTATAAAACTTTAATGTTCAAAATTTTTAGTTAACTATAGAAAGATATAGGTGCAACTGATATTGATCAAACAATTAATACAATTGAGATACGTAATAATGTATCGTATAATCATTGAGCTGTATAATTATAAAGCTCAATACTAGTCAATACGTATACATAATATAGAAACAAATAAGAAAGTGGTTTAAATAATCTTATACCCCCACTACTGTGCCGATTGCGCTCCTAGGCTCCTATCATTCTCAATTATTCTCAGGACGCTATATATACGATATATACCGCGTTCGTACCTTTTCCTATGAAAGAATTGACATCAATATTTAAAGGATTAATTATGCTACCTCTTTAGACTTAATTTACGAACTTATCGTACGAAATCAATTAAAGTATTCGAATCAAATTATGCAAATGATTACAAATTCTAGAATAGTTAGGTTGAGTAAACAATACTTATAACAACGTTACTGTATAGGTGAAGCCTATTTTAATACAACGATCTTATTTTCGTTTGCTTGTGGGTCGGAGGTAGCTTAAAATAAACGTGCAACAGACTCTAGTAACGTCTGGACAGTTCTCTGGCTTTTTTAACATGATGCAGAACGAATATCAGCCTCAGTCTCAGTATTGCATTCAAACTGTCCGATAGCCCAAGTTGCAGATTAAACTTTTAACGGAGTGGTATTTGCAAAACATCGAAAGAAGTTTTGTAATATAAATATTATACGATAAAAAGTTACCTTGTACGTATTTTAATCTACACACGTAATAATACTTGACAATTTTTCAATAGTTTGGTAGTTTGTATGTCACTTTATTCGTTTAAAGTTGAAACATCAAGCAACATCGTAGTCGACTTGATTTAGTTTGCAAAAATATACTTCTTGTCAAAAGAATTCTTTTACTTAATAATATAATAAGTGAAATTTTTTTTAGT